GTCCAACTGGTCAGAGATCGAGACCTTCAAGATCTGAATCACTTTCATGGGGTAACTTCTTTGATCAGTTCTGCTCTTGTGTCAGTGAATTCTACGCTTCCTTGCTTATGGTTTCCTCTGATAGGTTGGAGGGTTGTCAACTCTGCTAAAGACAGATCTTGAAAGCGGCATAGACGATGGTGAGATACTGCAACGTAAGCAGGAATTTGGGTCAAACACATACCCTTCCAAAAAGGGAAACACTTTCTGGGTATATGCAATTATTAAATAATTAACAAGAATCTTTAGTTTTATATTTGGCAAAAAAAGCTTTTCACTTTGAAATGTAAAACCTCTTTTTCAATTGTTTATTGTTATAATTGTTGTGTTGCAGAGCTTTATCTGGAAAGCTACCCAGTTTCCTCCTTATATGGTTATACTGATTCTTGTTGTTATAAGTTTGCTGCTGCGAATAAACGGAAAGGTGAGTTGTTTTTTCTCCACAGCATGATCTTTTTTCTTTTCTTTCTTTGGTAATTATGTTTGACATTAAGATTATCTTCTCTCTTTTGACTGCCATCCGTGTGCTTATTATGCATCCTGTCTCATTGGTTTCTTGTCTCCCAATACAACTGGCCTAATTAATAACAAACTACTGCTTTGGTGTTGATTCATCGTTCTATTTAGCCATATATATATATATATCATGTGGCTCTCTTTAGGTGTTGCTTTTTATAAAGGGGATTTTATCAAGATTTGGTCTCTTCTAGATCTTCCATATATTTCACTCTCATGATACTTGCAGGCTGTCCACGATGGTTGGTATGTAGAAGCTTGCGCCATTTTGACCATTGTCCTTTACATCATTGTGACAGGTATTAATTGTAATACTATTTTGAGTTGCCTACCCAAGCTTGAAACCTGGTTTTGTAGAATATGGAAAAAATCTTGTTTATTTTCTTTCTCTTCTGTTTGCAGCTATCACTGAGTACAAGCAGTCTAGTCAGTTCGAAAAGATTAGTGAGGAGAAGAGAAACGTAGCCGTAGAGGTGTGTTCTTGCGGACGGTTTTCTTCGTGTCATTTTCTCTTTTTGTTTCGTGTTCTCACAATATGTGCTGTACGTTTATGCAGGTTATTAGAGGTGGAAGAAGAGTCTTGGTTCGTACTAATGATATTGTTGTGGGGGATATTGTACCCCTCAAGAATGGTTTTCAGGTAGGCATTAACAAATTTGATAGTAATTTGTTACTTGGCTTAATTTTCTGAATTATGATCTCAATGCTGCAGGTACCTGCAGATGGTGTCCTGTTTGTTGCAAACTCATTGAAGATTGACGAGCAAGAATTAACTGGCTCACACGTAATTGTATGATATACTCGTGTTAATATCCTAAAATATTCAGTTACAAAAAAAAATTATATATCCTAAAATATTACCTCTCTCCTCTACCCTTTTTCAATTAGCAGGTTAAAAAAGATATTCTAAACGACCCATTTCTATTATCCGGCTCAAAAGTGATAGAGGGCATAGGTAGAATGCTGGTAAGCTCTCAAGACAGGTCTTTTAATTTCGCTATATGCTTGACACATCCATTTTCATAGATATTTAGCTGATTTTAGTCAAGATGAGGGCTAAGACTATGCAATGGGCATGTTAGAAAAATAAATCAAGTGCATTGCGGGTGTTAAATAATTTACAAAGAGGACGTGGATTCAATTTAGTTGAATAAATTCAACTTGTTGGCTGTTGAAAGCACAAAATTGAATCCAACAAAATGTACCAATTTAGTTGAATAAATTCAACTTTGGAGCATTATGAACCGCAAAAAAGATCAGATAAGTTCTCGAAAGTGTTTTATTGTTTTTGTTTAAAGCAATAATTATTGGGTTGGAACAAATGTCATTACATAATTGGCTGTCCAAATTTCATAAAATTTTATTTTATCCTAGTTTTTGAGATCAATTATGATATAACCCTCCATCGAAGGTGCTCTAAGAACCCCCATTAACATAGTCTTAAGTCACATTGACATGGATGAGAGAGACTATAACCATGATAGTCTCTTAAAAACAAAAGAATACTGCATTGCAAACAGTTTTTCTTTTAACTCTGAAGTGAAAACTACATTTCGAAATTTTACATCTCTACGTAATTAATATTGCTTTCTCTATACATGGTTTTTGATCTTCTAATTCACTTTTTCCCCGTGTAACTAAAGGTTACAAGTGTTGGAATAAACACTGAATGGGGGGAAAAGATGGCGAAACAACATGAGACTAGTCAAGAAAATCCCTTTCAGGTATGTTTTATTGACTACTAATTCCTTGCTACCTTCGATAGTTTGAGCATTTATCACCTGTGATTACTAGGTATACGTGAAACGGCTTGCTATTTCTGCTAGCTGGGTAGTCATTTTACTCGCTTCAGTTCCCTGTATTGTTCAGTTATGCCGGTAAGTGGTCTTTTTTCAGATGTACCCACCGCGCTTATTTAAATTTGCTTTCAGTTCTAAGTTCTATATCTCCATCCTGGCGATAAGGAGGACCTAACGACCCTTTTGATTCCAGATACTTTTGTGGTCGGACCAAAAAATCAGATGGAACTCCAATGTATATGCCTGGAAGTACCACTTTCGATGAAGCAATGGAATTTGTGTTCAATTCCCTGAGTTTCTGGGTATGGGGCATAGACCTTGGTGGCATAGACCTATAGTAATGGTAACTCTGTGTAACTTTTCTCGCAAAATATTTACTTTTGCAGATCGCGACAATAATTGTGGCAGTGCCTGTTGGACTTTCTACAGCTGTTGTCTTGAAGTAAATCTCCTTTCCTTTTTTCACAAATTTGCTTAAATTATAATTAAAAAAATACATACCAGAAGAGAAGCATATACTTAGTATGCGTACTTTTAGTTTTTCATTGCAGTTTATTTTTCGTAACGTCACGACAGTAACAATCTTATTGTTTCTCATCTTATCATTTTCCTCGGTACACCAGTCTTGCAAATACTATTGGAAAAATGATGACAGGAAACGCTTTGGTACTCTACCTTTATATTCCAAATTCTCCAATGTCGTTAGAGCATCAACAATTGCTAAACTTCTGTAAATGTCTTTCAGGTTCAAAAACTCTCTGCATGTGAAACAATGGGATATGTTACAACGATATTGTGTCATAAAACTGGAATTTTAACGTTGAATAAGGCAAGTGTTTTCGTCTATATTCAATTGGCTATTCCTGTATTCCATGATTCCTCTTTTAGTTCTTGGGTACCCATTTAAGCATTTATTTACTTCTAAGCAGATGTCGGTGGTTGATGTCTGGGCTGGAGGAACAAGAATGCAAGATATGGATAATGTTTCACATTTTCCCTCGATTCCTACAGAACTAATAATACAAGGCATTGCCCAAAACACAAATGGCAGTGTTGTTTTTAAAACGGTAATTGTGTTCAACCAGATCATGGTGTTCAGTTGGACATATTTTGATAAGCATTATTCTTATTAAGCTCATAATAAACTATAGGGAGTAACTGAACCAGAGGTATATGGATCACCAACAGAACAAGCGATTCTTAGCTGGGGGAACAAGGTTTTGTTTCTTACTAGTCTTACATTACACTTGATATAGCTATTAAGGTTATAACTAATGACTGTTGGATACTCGTGTTTCGTAGTTGGGAATGAAGTTTGATGAGGCTAGGTCAGAATCACCAGTCCTTCATGTAATACCATTCAATCCGAAAAAGAAATATGGAGGCGTGGCATTAAAGGTTACATAAGTGAACATCAGATATCTATATATATATCCCTGTGTTCTTTTGACACATATACATTCTTATACATTTGTTTCTTCTTCTTATTATTCATTTATAGGTTGGTACAGAACACCACGTTCATTGGAAAGGATCTGCAAAAGTTATTCTTAATTCATGCAAATGGTATATGGATGGGGCCAACAACCGCATAGCTATTGGTGAACAGAGACGGGTAATTTGTTTATGAGCGTAGATTACACATTCATAAATAACCTATTAATTCTTGTTTGATTTTTATTTTATTTATAAAAATTCATTCTCTCCTTAGGAGATGGAAAGAATAGTTAAAGACATGTGTATGAGAGGAATGCGTTGTGCTGGACTTGCTTATCAATCCTATGAGCTGGGGAGTCTTCCAACGATTGATGAGGAAATTTCTACACTACCTCAGGACCTTGTTTTGTTGGCTATTATTGGTATAAAGGTAACTATTTCACTTGATTCAAAGCCTTTGAAGTCTTATATTGTTATCATTACCTATCCAATGTATTGACTAACGTGCAGGATCCTTACCGGGATGGCACAAAGAATGTGATCCAACTGTGCAATTCTGGAGGTGTTAAGGTGCCTGTTTTACCACTCTTCCTCTCTAGGTTCACCAACCAATAGGATTTCATTATTTCATATTTAATATATTTTAAAAAAGAAAACAAAATATTATCAAATTATATTATATTTTTACAATTAAAAGATAAAAATAAATAAAAAATAATATAATAATATTTTGTTTCGTTTTTAAAAGATATTGAATATAAAATAATCTAACGTCTTTTAGTACTAGTAGAGTGAAATTTTCTTCTCGTGGGTGAATTTTTTGTTATCGCTAAATAAGTTGTGGCGTAGTTATGTGGTGAAAGATGTTGATTTTCAGGTTCGCATGGTGACTGAGGATGATGTTTTGGCTGCTCAAGCAATAGCAAAGGATTGTGGGATACTGGAGAATTTAGATAGCCTTGATACAGTGACAGGAGCTCAATTTCGTGTTCTTTCCGATCTAGAGAGAGTGAAGATCGCCCCAGAGATCTTAGTATGAATCCACTCTTCAAAATTTATGCTTTAGTACATAAAAGTATCTGTGCACGTCATGATACATGGACAAGTAAAAAGCTTGGGATTAGCTTTAGTACCAGTTGTCACATATATGTTTATGGTCAAGAACTTGACTGAGAAAAAAAAACTAACAAACTACTACTCTATGTGAAGGTTTTGGCTCAAGCCTCTCCCAAGGACAGTCTTTTGTTTGTCGAAGCGCTGAGGAAAAGCGGGCATGTAGTTGCAGCCACTGGGATGGGAATACATGATACAATGACACTACGCGCGGTCTGTCATTATTTTTCATACTAAACACTTCAAAGACATCTCAAAATCATTACAACAATCCACAATTATGTTTTCTTTGCACAGGCGGATGTTAGCATTGCAATGGGAATTGGAGGGACAGCAGTAGCGAAAGAGAATGCCGATATTATTATATTGGATGACGATTTTGATACAATTGTCAAGGTTAGTAATATGGTGATATGCATGGTTGAAATGACGAACTCGGTTTATAGAATACATGCAACAAAGAGAGAAAACCTTCATTTAAACAAGGTTTGTTAATTTGGACAATGCAGGTTATCCAATTGTGTCGATCACTTTACACCACTATCCTGAGATATGTCCTATTCAGGCTCACTGTGAGTGTCTCAGCCGTGGCTATCACTGTGGTCGAGGTTGTATTCTATGACGCCTTTCCACTTAATGCCGTGCAGGTTCGAAAATGTTATCCCTTTGTTACATCATCTTCTTGTAATCCTGTTTTTCGAAGACTGAAATCTTTGTCCCTGATGCAGCTTCTGTTGCTTAATCTTATGGTGGACATCTTTGGAGCACTAGCGTTGGCTTACAAACCACTAGCTCGCAACATAATGCAGAAACCACCAGTTGATAGAAGGTACACAAAATCTGAACAGTATCAAGGATTTGATAATTGATTAATTAGTAGTTGTCTTGGAAATATACTTAAAACTGATCATTCATGTGTATACTTTTTTCGCTTTGTGTTTTTTGCAGCGACCCTCTTATAACCAAGACGATGCGGTTCAAGTTGGTGACACAGGTATTTCCCCCTGAAAATTATTTTATTTGTCATGTGTGAACACCAAGAAAGTCTTTTACTCCATAGTTTCCAGAGAGCAAATAAACACAATACATTGGTCATAACAATTTAGATTAGCAGAAAAAGAAAAACAGCAACTTGGAGACCTCTAAATAATGCTTCCCTTCTCCAGGTGATTTACCTAGTGCTGTTGCTAGCCTTCATACATTCTGATAGTATACTGAAGCTGGATCACGGTCAAACCAGTGATACTGAAAAAGTGAAGAACACATTAATTTTCAATTGTTTGGTATTCTGCCTGGTAATGTTCGATTTCTCCCACTCACCAGTAATTGTTAGCGCTAATCTGAGAATAAGTTGATCATTTCTGTTTTCTGCAGGTATTCAATGAGTTTGAAATCAGAAATGGAGACCAAACACTGATAGAAGTTCTTAAAGACAACATGTTTTTCCTTACAATAACTGCAACTATCATAGTTCAGGTAAGTCTTTTGGACAATTAACTACATAACTTATCTTCTCTTTTAAATCTTTCTTTTTGTTCCTTGTGTATATCAGATAATCTTGGTAGAGTTCCTTGGCATTTTCAATTCTTCCGTTAGGCTTGACTGGGAAAAATGGCTCTTCTCCGTCCTTGTGGGATTTCTCAACCAGGTTGCCACCCGCTTCCCTTTGGAAGTCTACCCATACTGCCCCAACTGATCTTTTGTTCTTCTTAGTATGTATATGCACATTTATCTTGTGGTTAAGTTGGTAATCCCTTATATATTAATCCTGAAGCATTCATAAATGCACAACCTTGGAGAGCATTCTTACGTGTCAAGTTCACAGAGCTTCTCAACTTTAATTTTTTAATGGACCAACTTTGCTAGGAATGAAATAATTGGAGTCTAGCTTGTACTCTTGGAAGAATGTTTTATTACAATATCTTTTTAATGGTTAATTTGGCGCTGCGTTTCCTCTGTTGTGGTTGTTATTTTATAAGCGATTAGATGTTCGCTTTGGTTGGTACATTGAATCATATATTGGATTTGAAGAAACAGAACAAAGAGATGAGAAGAGAACATGCCTGGTACTGCGTCTGTCTAAAACCAAATCTCAAAAACTCATCTTCCGTGGATTTGTGTCTTTTTTAATCTTCTTTTAACAGCTTTGTTGAGTGATCTTGTTTTAATCTGCAAAACCAGAAAGAGCTTCGAAAGAGAGAGATAGAGCGAAGAGATAGCAAAATGAGTAGAGATTCTGATATGCTCAGTAATATTCCTTCATGCAAAATATTCGCACGGCATATACCCATATTCGCACGACCATTGTTTACAGTTCCTTTCCTCAATTCACATCGCAATGAAAAGTCTTGGGCTAGAGTCCCACTAAGCCCGAGTTGCTGATTCTCTGTTTTCTTTTTATAACGTGACAAAAAAGAAAAGGGTTTCAGTTTTTTTGGGTACAATCTCCATTGACACTTTGACAGAAGGAAGGAAGCCGCAAAAACATGGCTGCATCATTCTCTGCGTTTCTTGACGTTCTTAAGCTGGCCACAAGAACAATTCAAGGATTTGGGCAAAATGTGTGATTCTTTCTAATTGCAAAACAGAACCTATAGTGTTTCTATGGTTATAGATTTTTTTCTGTTTGGCGAGAATTTTTTGAGTACCACGAAATTAACATGGAGGTACTTTGAAAAATGGTCGTAAACAAGATCAATCATCAAAAATGAGAATTAATTGGACTGATCAAGTCTTTGCTTTTACAGAATTACATGAAAGAAAAACAAACACTATTTAATTGCTGAATGTTGTAGGTAGGCTCGTAGTAGAGTTGGAAGAAACATGCCGGATTGAGCAGAGAGGACAATGTGAAGGAGCGTCTGTGAGTTCCAAAACTAGAACATTGCTTACAAGAGCATCCAGTACGATCCTTTTTCAATATTAGCCTCGGATCCGAGGCTGTACTCGAGACGTTCACCGAGGACGATTGAGACAAGTCTTCTCTCCTTTTGTTTCTGGCCTCCTCAAGTTTTCTTGTGGGTCAAGAAACAAAGGCTTAGGACTATGTACAACAATTATCTGAATTAATCACCTCAACGAATTTTCACATTTCTCGTACAAGTACAACATCCTTTCACTTAACTCCTCGCAATTCATTTTTGTAATGATCATCCATAATATCCTCAGAATAGATATTCACACAAGAGGCACCTTACTGTGCTTCCTACGCCTACAAAATCCCCTATATATTAAAAGAGAAACATTACAACATTTTTTGTAGCCACATGTCATCACCATAATCATTCTTAGAATCTTTAGAAAAATATGTTGGTCCATCTTAATATATAATAAGTTTTTTATTAAACTAATTATAAATGACTTATTAATGTTTTTCATTGTTTCCTTAAATAAAAATAACGGAATTGCCAAATATGATTAAAGAATATATGACAATTAATGATTTTCAGTAATAAAGATTTGATAAAAATTAGTGTATTTTTAAAATTTTAACTTATTAAAATAAATTAAACAAATACATTAACTATATAATAAAAATTTAGTTTTTTCGTATATGTTATACTATGAATTTTTTTAAACGACTATAAATGACTAAAGTTGTTAAAAAATCTCACATGAAAATTTTTGTGATCCATGGTTAAGTTTTTTAATAACAAAATAGAAATGGTTACAAAATTATATAAGTAAGAAGTCTCATTGAATATATATATATATATATATATATATATATATATATATATATAT